ATTTTCCTATTGACTTGTTGTGTTTCCCCAAAATGCCTGATTAACATGATGTTTTTCTTCCTGGTGTCCTCTACAGAAGACATGTATAAAAATGATGCCCTATTTCGTAACAAAAAGTCATATTCCGATTTGAAACCCCATAACATTTTTCTAGGGAGAGGAGAGGGAGTGTTTATGATCAAACCTCCAAACATTTGATATCTCTAAAAAGCCCTGAATGTGTACAGGATATCCAGACTTAAAAATGTGACATGCAGGGACACAGAGAAATTCACTAAAATATTGAGCATGTCCTCGGAGGACCAAAGTCTATGCCTGGGTCCAGAAGGATAATATTTACCAACAGAATTAAAGCGATCTTGTTTTTAAACAACACTTAAAAAGATGATATTACCTAACTTGAACACACATTACCTTTGTCTGTTTTTGCTCCGCCAATGAAGACATTTCCAAACAACCCACAGCTGAACCGTTGCGCAACTCCGAGAAACAAACAGCATCACCTTCACTGAATGAATCAGTGTTTTTGAACGAATCGGTTGAATGATTCAACGATTCATTCATAAAAGCAGTACCTTGTTGAATGAATCGACGTTTTTTAAAAGAAATTCATTGGCCTCTTTCATAAAAAATGTCTCCACTTAATGTTTTAATTATGTAACAGCACTGGGACTGTTCACTCTTTGTATCACTCCGCTTCTCTATTTTTAAGCGCTATGGAGCCCTGCACATGACATGCGGATAAAAAAAGATATCGTTACTATGAATCTGGGAATTCGGATTCATTAATCGTGGGCCACAAATTAAAAAGTCGTGGGAACAAATTCTTAATTCGCGGCTATAATATCATGTTATGTGGGGGGTTCCTTAGTGCACAAAAACAGACACGCACAGTGATACAAAGAGTGAAAAGTATGCTGTTGGAGATGATGGCTGCATCCGAAATAGCATACTCTCCGAGGTACTTCTTTTGAATTAATATCTACTAAAAGTATATATTTTAAAGAGTGCTTTGTCTGGAAAGCATCTGCTGTGTACAAACATATGATAGGCCTAACGTCTTTAAGGTTTGCATACATTATAAATCATTAACATCCTAAAAACTTTGTCTAAAAGTCTATTTAACATTTGACAAACGCATTGCAGATAAGCAAAATCTCCATGAAATGCACACTTCAGGAACTAATTGTTGGATAGGTTGTTTATGGCTCTAAAAAAAATACTTAAAGGACATTACTGCCAAAACTCCTTTTTTTGGTCTTTGCTGGCACCTTTATAAGAGTACATACTGTAGATAATGTTTTACCTTCCTTTTTTTACACACATCTGAGTTTGACATCTCAACAACAAGATTAACAGGGCCAAAAAATTCAGAAGTTTTTATTTGATGCTTTCCAAGACATACAGACAAGACATATTTTCTTTCCAGTGTTTTGACAGTTGCCATTTAGAGTTCCAATTTCATTCAGCAATCTTTGCAGCTCCGGCTCACCCAGAGAGGATGTGCTTGATGAAGGACGTGTAGTTAATGCAGCCGTTGGCGTCTTCTTGTCCGGCCATCAGACGGTCCACCTCATCTTCTGTCATTTTCTCCCCAAGTGTTGCCAAGACATGACGGAGCTCAGCACCCATCACTGTTCCATTTCCTTCCTTGTCAAAGACTCTCAGACCCTCAACAAAGTCCTCAAATGTCCCCTGGTTCTTGGCTCTTGAGATATGCTGCAGCATGGGCAGGAACGTCTCAAAGTCCAGGTATTTGGTGTTCATATCTTCAGCTTTGGGCTTCCCCAGCACAGTCAGGACATCAGCATTGGTAGGGTTGTGACCCAGGGCCCTCAACACGTCTCCACACTGAGCGTAGCTTATCTTCATCTCGCCCGTTGGTGTCTCGTCAAAGAGAGTGAAAGCATCCTTGAACTCTTCGATCTGGTCAGCGGTAAATTCCAGTAGGATACTTTTCAGGTCCAGCTCGGGCTCTTTGGGGGTCTCTGGAACTGGGGCAGGAGCTGGGGCTTCTTCTTTCTTCGGCTCAGGTTTTTTAGGCTCTGGTTTCTTGGGTTCAATTTTTTTCGGTGCCATAATGCCAATGCTGAGAGTGCAGATGGGAAAAGCTGGGAAATGTGTTGTAAGAGCCCCTGTTGGGCTTTTATATTAACTGTGATAAGCCTTATCAGAACTGGAATAGTGGCAGACTATATAAGGAAATGAACTGGAACAGACTTGAGTGCTGCTCATACCATGTTGAAATGTTTCTTTCCAGTAGATAAAACCAGACTAACCACGCTGTTACCTCATTGGAATGAACAAATTAAATAAATGTTCTTAAATAGCCCTATAGTCAGCTTTAAATGAAACCCTGTTCGTACGTTTTTTTGTTTTTTTTTTGCTTTTTATCAACAGGAAAATTATGTTAGCATGTAGAGACGTTAGAGTAACCTAAAAATGAAAATTCATTAATTCACATATCTTTATCTGAGAAACAGACCAAGATGTAAGTCATTATTCACTGATAATGTTAATTTCCAGATGATTGATCGATTTGGGTGAATTGAACTTGAGAACTGAATCAGTTTAATTCATTAACAGATCATTCTGTTCAGTTTTGTTACTAGATCAACCGAAAAGATCTAAAAAGAATGATTTGTTGTCTCATAACCATGCCAAGGTCAGCTACTGTATGTAAAGAGTTTGGGGGAATACCAATTTAAAAGCTATCCAACCTTTTTTGAATGACATGAAAGTGAGTAAATGATAACACAATTTTCATTGAACTATCCCTTTAAGACATATAGACTAGTTTATCCAAAAATGAAATTGTCATAATTTTCTCACCCTCATGTTGTTCCAAAACCTGTATGACTTTCTTTATTCCATGGAACACAAAAGAAGATATTTTGAAGAATGTTGGTAACGTTTTTGGTTACCATTGACTTCCAATGTAAGGACAAAAAACATTTCTCAAAATATCTTCTTTTATGTTCATCAGAAGAAAGAAAGTGTGAAAAAGAAAATAATAATTAAGAGTGGAAAAGCTCAAGAGCGTACAGCAGATCAGAGTTAAGAAGAGTAAAAAAAAACACACCAAGGTGATATTATTCGGTTCAAGCTCTAAGACCATCCAAAAGCAAACTGAATATGTTAGTCCAGAACACGAAAGAGAAGATTTTCTGAACAACATACAGATCACAGTGCATTTATGACACATGTAGATGCAGTAATTCAATTTGTACTTTAAAAAACCTGAAGCTGTATTTTGTGCAAGCATAGAGGAGTCTCCTATCGTGCCACTAAGTGCTGCTAGTAATTTGCCAAGCAGGTGATAAGGGTGGATCTATTCTGAGAGGCAGCACATACCAGCACTCCCGTCACAGTGATGCTGTTTATAACACAGAATTTAAACACACTTAGCACAAAACAAAGATACCACAGTCTTTTTTAGGGTTAATGTTATCTAGTGTAGTTAAAAGCATACTCGGAGCTCATGTTTTTCCAAGCAATTTTTGAAAAGATTTTTTCTTTATTAATCAGTTTACATCGTCAAAAGTTAAGAATTCATAATATTAATTTATTAAACAGGCAGAACTGGGTATAATTGTGGACGTCTGAATTAACTTTCAAATCAGTGAGGGTCTTGAACAAATTATTTTTAAGAAATAAAAGCCTGCCATCTAGTGGCCCAATTGTGAATTTTTGTCCAGAAAATGTACAAGCAATGTGAGTGTAGAAATTACATGAAATAGATCCTGATGTTTAATAAACTTTTACTACTTGTTTTTCCACTAATTTCTGTGTATCATCTTTCAACAAGTACATTTACATTTCAGTACTCCTCAGTATTTAAAGTAGGAGCATTTTGGCACTTGAGTGAACGGTCAAGGTCTGTCAGCAAGGGCAGAGAGAGAGTCTGTGTTCACTGATGTCTCACTGTGAAAAATTGGCACAGCTGGGATGAACATCTATTAATGAGAACACAGCCCGAGGACATGTTTGTAGCACCTCTCTCCGTTTTTTGTATTTATTTTTATTTTTTTTGTCTCTCTCCAATGTGCTCATATTGTGGAGTAAGATAAAACCAGAAACATTGTGTTCATAAATAAATTAGTTATTTATCAGTAATCATTTAATCCTTGTAATGTTTTTGCAGGAATAGGTGAGGCAATTTGTTTGAAAACATTTAATATTGTTATTGTGATATTGCATTATAATTTGGTGCGTTTGGAGCTCCAATTATTTCTGGCTTGAGCTCCAAATATACATGAATAATATCAAGTCAAAACAACATTAAAATTCAAAAACAAAACCAGAAAATATTGGGGGTCAGCAAGGGCAGAGAGAGAGTCTGTGTTCACTGATGTCTCACTGTGAAAAATTGGCACAGCTGGGATGAACATCTATTAATGAGAACACAGCCCGAGGACATGTTTGTAGCACCTCTCTCCGTTTTTTGTATTTATTTATTTATTTTTTTGTCTCTCTCCAATGTGCTCATATTGTGGAGTAAGATAAAACCAGAAACATTGTGTTCATAAATAAATTAGTTATTTATCAGTAATCATTTAATCCTTGTAATGTTTTTACAGGAATAGGTGAGGCAATTTGTTTGAAAACATTTAATATTGTTATTGTGATATTGCATTATAATTTGGTGCGTTTGGAGCTCCAATTATTTCTGGCTTGAGCTCCAAATATACATGAATAATATCAAGTCAAAACAACATTAAAATTCAAAAACAAAAACAGAAAATATTGGGACATTGGTCAGAAAGTGATGTAATGCTAAATTTCTCAAAATCTGCTACAATGAAGAAACAAACTCGATCTACATCTTGGATGGCCTATGGGTGAGTACATTTTTGGGTGAACTACTCCTTTTATATGTGTGTGTGTGAGTGTGTGTGTGTGTGTATTTGAAACCATGATCATTTTTAAAAATATTTTATTTCTTTAAAAAAAAAAAACTTCTGAATGGGAGTTTATGTTAGTTTAGTAATTGAACAGCTTTAAATACACCACATCTGCGAAATTCACACAATTGATGGTTAAATTGCCACACCTGAGGTGCCAGTTCTCCATTGGCAATGATCTGAGCAATCAGCTCCCATTTCCTGTCACTGGGGGCATGATGCAGCAACTGGTTCCTCAAAATTTCCCCCACAGACACATGTTCGTAATCATAGTGATGTGCAAGTTTAGCTGTCTGAGTGCCCTTCCCACTGCCCGGTCCACCTGGAAAATATTATAGCAAATGCCTTTTTACATCACAGAAACAGCACAATGGAAATGCTAATTTCAAATTAATTAAGGTCAAGGTCTACTGAATTTCATTTCATCCAGCTCAAAGAGTTGGAATTTAGAACAAGATGAATTCATAAAAAAGATCAAATGACTGAAACAGACTGAAAATGACCAGCTGACAGTGATGACCACTCACCTATAATGAATATGATGTGTGGTCGTGGTTTTGATGGGTCAAAGACATCATATTCCTGTATGAGCCCCGAGGACTCCGTCATGTCTGAGTCACTTTCTATAGAGAACTGGGCCTGGATTGGTGGCAACCTGTCATATCGACGGTAAGGTCCGGGGCCTGGACCAGGACCACTGTCTGTGGAAGGAAACAGATTACATTCATTGCTTTTATATGACCTCAAACATACTCTTAATTCACGCATTTGATGGAAACCCACACAAATCTATGTGGTTAGATGTTCATTATTGAGATATTCGGGTCATTTTCAACACTTGAACCATGTTTAACCTTCCTAAGTTTATTTATTATTTAGTTTTCATTTTCACAGCTGCCTTTCAGATTCATATTTGGTTCCTTAGCTGCTGTTTTTTTATCTAGAAAATGACGTTTTAGTGATTTAAAGAGAGAGTCCAATATAAAAACACTCAAATATAATTCATTTTGAGTTTTAATGCTTTCATTAAGCATAAAAATGAAAAGTATCACAAAAAATATTGATTAAAGTATTATTTCAGTGTAGTGACGTAGATCCAGCTGAAACGGAATATTGAATAGAGGGCATGGTTTTATGTTTGCGCTTCTCCTCTTTGTCTCTCACTCACAGCAATCTAAAGGTTGGAGTTGTGTGTTTAAGGATATTCTGCCCAAGCCGTCAAACTAACGTCATCAGAAAAGGAATGCCATTCCAGAGCGGAAGTAAATGTTCAGATTTTGATTAAAGATTACGAAGACAAACTTTTTCTTTCAGCAGATTAACTTGCACGGATTAATTGTTTACATCAAGACTAGCAATGTGCGCTAGTAAAGTAAATAAAGTATATTTGGATTTCATGGGAACTTTAATGTACGATTCAGTACAGTCCTTTCCCAATGGATCCAGAGGTCTGCATGTTGGGTAATTTTCTAATTCTAACCTCAAGAGTAGCTGTGCCATTAAGCTCATGGAAGAACTATTGCTGATTGTTATGAAGTCTTCTCTTTTAAAGTGAAAAATCAGAGCTTACTATCTCAATTCAGAAGTGGTTAATGGAAATTACTTATTGCTTTGCCCTAGAAAAATTAACATTTGTAAATTAAAGCATTTAATAAAATTTGGAATTATATGAAATGATTAAAAACCTCTCACTTGTTGACTTTTTCTTGTTTTCATTGTTGTTAAATGTTTCTTTATTTTTTCACTCATACTGTTAATTTTTCAGTACTTTTTTCCCTTTGTCATCTGAATTGTGTATATTGTTTTTTTAAAATGTTTTCTGTGCTGTTTGACATTACGTCATTAAAATGATAAATAAAATGAAAATTAAATAAAAAGCCAATGCAACTAAAATGCAAAGTGTCTTTTTAATGTACATCCATCATGTCCAACTAGCTATTTTTTTCCAGACATTTTAGTGCTTGCTAAGATAATGTGCCTTCAAATTACCGAGTTTGCAGGGGGCTTTCTTTCCCTGTGCCGGGGTGATTGGTGGTAGAGGTTTTCGATCAGGTGTAATAAAAGTGTCCCAGGCCACACATTCAGGACCCCCGAGGTCTCGTGTTTTCTGCAGGCAACTCTCCAAGAATGTCAAAGGGTCCTCGGGCCTGTGGTACATCAGCCCTGTTAACATGCTCTGTGAGATACACAAAGAGTTTGAACAGTTTTGTTATATGAAACTGTTAAATGACTTACAAATGAGGACAATAGAAGCAATCAAAACCAACAAAGGGGCAATAATATGTAAGTGCTGTGGCAAGTCTCAGTTAGCCTAACGCAGTACACTCTTAAAAATAAAGGTGCTTCATGATGCCATAGAAGAACCTTTTTGTCTAAATGGTTCCATAAAGAACCTTTAACATCTGAAGAACCTTTCTGTTTCACAAAAGGTTCTTTGTGGCGAAAGAGTTATAAAGATTATAAAAAGGTAAGAAAGAGATGGTTCTTTAAAGAACCTTTGACTGAATGGTTCTTTTGTGGAACCAAAAATGGTTCTTCTATGGCATCGCTGTGAAGAACCTTTTGAGGCACCTTTATTTTTAAGAGTGTACACGTAGCAAGGTTTTTTTTTTATAATAAATAAAAATAAAACAAGAAGATAGAATAGAGAATGTTAGTGTTAGAGGCTTTTTTTAAAAGAAAACAAGTAGTAAGAATAGAAACAGAATAGAGAGTGCAAGATGGCTAAGGACTCAGCTGCTCGGATTGAGTTGGGCAGGTCATTTCACCAGGAGGGAACAGTTAATGTAAAAGTCTGTGAAAGTGATTTTGTGCCTCTTTGGGATGGCACTATAATGCGCCATTCGCTTGCAGAACGCAAGCTTCTAGAGGGCACATAATGAAATGCTTAGTTGAGTGTTTCAGAAATGCAACTTTGTATTTCAGAGTGTAGAATTCCGGTGCATCTATTTGTATAAACAACGTCTTTCACCATATGTTCATCATAATTTTGTGCATCACTGACAATTGTGACAAAAAGTCCTTTCTTGCTTATTTACCTCAAAGCAAGGAACATGAGAACATGTTTTGATTATTAGCCAAACAGAGCTAAACGACTTCTGAATGATATGACAAAGAGGGGAAAAGCAGTACACTCTTAAAAATAAAGGTGCTTCATGATGCCATAGAAGAACCTTTTTGTCTAAATGGTTCCATAAAGAACCTTTAACATCTGAAGAACCTTTCTGTTTCACAAAAGGTTCTTTGTGGCGAAAGAGTTATAAAGATTATAAAAAGGTAAGAAAGAGATGGTTCTTTAAAGAACCTTTGACTGAATGGTTCTTTGTGGAACCAAAAATGGTTCTTCTATGGCATCGCTGTGAAGAACCTTTTGAGGCACCTTTATTTTTAAGAGTGTACACGTAGCAAGGTTTTTTTTTTATAATAAATAAAAATAAAACAAGAAGATAGAATAGAGAATGTTAGTGTTAGAGGCTTTTTTTAAAAGAAAACAAGTAGTAAGAATAGAAACAGAATAGAGAGTGCAAGATGGCTAAGGACTCAGCTGCTCGGATTGAGTTGGGCAGGTCATTTCACCAGGAGGGAACAGTTAATGTAAAAGTCTGTGAAAGTGATTTTGTGCCTCTTTGGGATGGCACTATAATGCGCCATTCGCTTGCAGAACGCAAGCTTCTAGAGGGCACATAATGAAATGCTTAGTTGAGTGTTTCAGAAATGCAACTTTGTATTTCAGAGTGTAGAATTCCGGTGCATCTATTTGTATAAACAACGTCTTTCACCATATGTTCATCATAATTTTGTGCATCACTGACAATTGTGACAAAAAGTCCTTTCTTGCTTATTTACCTCAAAGCAAGGAACATGAGAACATGTTTTGATTATTAGCCAAACAGAGCTAAACGACTTCTGAATGATATGACAAAGAGGGGAAAAAATGAATAACATCCAGGGAGAAAAAATAATACTTGCAAATTGTTTTTCTATTCATCCCACACGTGTTAGCAGTTCATACTCCGGGCCATTCAGAGGGACATGGAATGGAAAATCTGAGCTCTAAATAATCAGCTGTTTGCTTCTTTTGATGCAAATAAAACTGCTTGAGAATTTACATCTCAATCCTCACGGGTATCAAACAGCTAAAGACACATTCAGCCACTGAATAAAGGAACAGTGTCCAAACAGAACCATAACAAAAGGCTGAATTTGCTTGAGGTATCAGTATAATAACAGACCACAGCATTTTTAAGGACTAATGCAGTATCGATATGGAGAAAAAACATTAAAAACAAACTAAGCTTGAACTGTAAAAACTAGTAACCTGCTATATTTATACTTGATCAAAAAAAGGTTGTGGTACATGTGTCTTTTTCCTGTGAAATCATTTCAGATTTTTTGTCATTTTTAGTACATGAAAATAACTCTTATAGTGTTAGTAATATTTCAAGATGAAACTGAAGCAACTTTTCAGTTGGCTTTTGAGCAACGTTTATTTGTATGTCTCTCAGTCATCATAGTATTGCATTGCATTATGTTTTGCACCCAAAATCAAAACTACAGAGCTTTATTAAATGTACTAAGACATTTTATTGGTATATAGAGTGATAACTGATATGTATATACATTTTAAGAAGTCTGCTATGCTATTATAAAGATTTTATTGAGTTACATTGTAAATAAACAGAATTTCATCTTACTTTCTGGCCATATAAACATCAGAAACTGCACCAAATTGCATATTTCTTCTCAGTTTGGGCCTCTGAATGAAACAGAGGTGTTTTTTCCTCCTCGAGTACGAGCTGAGATACTTGCTATGATACCAGTTTAAATAATAGTTATGAACTGAAATGAATTAAGTTAACTACTTTAGATACACTTTCTTAATCTTCCTTACATACTGTATCTTTACACGCTGTTTCAGAGATGAATATCTAGAGGTATGCACATGAACCTAAACCTGCGTGTTTGCATTCCTCAGTGAATTGCGTGTTCGGGCACATGCAAGAATTTGACTGTTTGACTCCTTCTCTCCCCCTCGCTCTCCATTGCCCACATTTCCTAAGATGAGTCACGTAAAGTAAATATAAAGTGCATAGCTTGTTGCCTTGGTGACAGCCAAAGTGTTGATGTGCTGAAACTCATGTTTACAACCTTCACCAATTGTGTCCTGCCTGAACAAATGTCATACATGTGGTGATGACCAACAATATTGAGCTTCATTATATATAGGATCAATTTGAAGATGGAAAGCCTGTCAGAAGTGTGTTCTATGATCCTCCATGGACAAAGTATTTTGTATGCAACTACATATCTCCCACACAAGCACAAGCACTTGTTGACGCTGCCTGAGGAGAATCTTCCCTCTTGCTGACCCTCCTCTTTGCCATTACAGCACCCTACTTGAGAATCACCATAGAGACACCTTGAAATATCTCATTTACCATGCAATTGTGCATGCTAAATAGACACAGACTTTTGATTAATTCATGCTATCAGCTCACATCAGCTCTAGTAAGCTTTTTTCCCCCCAATAGATTTTTCATATAAAAACTGTTGACAGTAGAAATAGCTATCATTATTAATCTATCATTTATCATTAACCATGAAGAACTCTGAGAAAGAGAACTGGAAGGTGAATAATATGAAGGCATATATATGCTCACCTTGAAAACAGACTACATGATCAGATGTTTCCAGATGTGTTGTTCTCTAAGTGACGTTAATATTAAAATACTTGAAAATGCTTCTCCTGGAGGTGATTCTTACCTCAAAAAGGTGTGGGATCTGTCGTTTGGAGAGGTAATCCTTCGCGTCGTTTGTGTTCATTCTTTTCGGTTATCCAGAGCAGCGTTTGTAAGTCAGTAGAGCAGCAGCTGTGTCTATCATCTGCTCATCTGTTGCGTTTCACCCTCTGAGCAGCTGTGCTGTCGTGCATCATCGCATTGGGTCGTTCTCCGCTGTTTTGACGCCGATGACCTCCGGGCGATGTTTCCATTCATCAGTTGTTATAGTCACGCTCATGAATGCTGAGCTCAAAGTGACCCTTAGTAGCGTGTAGTCGAGAGTAATAGTCTAATCCACCAGTATCGAGTATCCTTGGTATCAATACCGCAATTAAATATTGTATTATATATATAAAGTATTCAGACCCCCTTACATTTTTCACTCTTTGTTATATTGCAACCATTTGCTAAAATCTTAGCTAGAGATCTTATTTTATTTTATTGTAAACAAAACACTTAGGTTTTTGTGATGCAATTGTTTTAAGTAAATCTTTAATCAAGTGAAAAATAATGACATTGACAAATCCTCTAAAGTGAGGTGTTTTTATGTCATTATACAGAACTTAATATTTGCATGAATAAATGAGTAAATAAATAAACAAATAAGGAGCCAGGCACATGGCAAAAAAGAGCCACAAATAAAGATTTTTTTTACATGACATCTTTCACAGTACTGGGTTACTTACAAATTGTAGTCCATTACTGATTACAAATTACATAATTGTAGATAGTAATGTAATCACTGATACACATATTGTATCCTGACTGTTTGATTACTTTTAGATTACATTTCACCTAAGATGTAACAAAATATTTTCCATCCTTTGTTATCCACATCATAGTGCATTTAGCCATTATGCCAAAGTTGCCCAAACTGGGGTTCCTTACAATGTAGTATAATCTAATTACAAGTACTTAATTTTTGGAATATGATTACGTTATCCAGTCATCTAATTAGTTACTACCCAGCACTGATCATTCATGACTTCCTTCTTTCCCTAATTTTACATCAATTGTGGCCAAATTGTACTAGGCTACTTTGTTCCCTCGTTTTAGTTAAATCGCTGCCATAGTTTAGACATAGTAAATTAAACAGGGGGAATTAATTAGTACAATGTGGCCAAAAATTAAGAAATCGCAAGAACAATTTAAATAAAACAAGGGTAACAAATTTAAAAAATGTGGCCACAAATTAATAAGTCAAAATTTCTGCATGTCATGTGGCTCCGTACAAAATCAAGTACAAAAACAAGTCTTAAACGAAAATAGTCCCACCTCAAATTGTTTGAACCAATCTCGTTGTGTCATACAGGTTTGGAACAACTTGACTAAGGTGCCAAAAACAAAAAGATGTAACAAAATATTTTCCATCCTTTGTTATCCACATCATAGTGCATTTAGCCATTATGCCAAAGTTGCCCAAACTGGGGTTCCTTACAATGTAGTATAATCTAATTACAAGTACTTAATTTTTGGAATATGATTACGTTATCCAGTCATCTAATTAGTTACTACCCAGCACTGATCATTCATGACTTCCTTCTTTCCCTAATTTTACATCAATTGTGGCCAAATTGTACTAGGCTACTTTGTTCCCTCGTTTTAGTTAAATCGCTGCCATAGTTTAGACATAGTAAATTAAACAGGGGGAATGAATTAGTACAATGTGGCCAAAAATTAAGAAATCGCAAGAACAATTTAAATAAAACAAGGGTAACAAATTTAAAAAATGTGGCCACAAATTAATAAGTCAAAACTTCTGCATGTCATGTGGCTCCGTACAAAATCAAGTACAAAAACAAGTCTTAAATGAAAATAGTCCCACCTCAAATTGTTTGAACCAATCTCGTTGTGTCATACAGGTTTGGAACAACTTGATAAGGTGCCAAAAACAAGGTGCCAAAAGTTTAATTTTTAGGGTGAACTATTTTAAAAATTAAAAATAAAATAGATCAAAGATCATACTATCATCCCCACTGAAAAATAATATTAAAGACATACTAAAATCATACTAAAACATCACTTTTATTCCAATGAAACAAAAACCACCATGTTAAACAGTGCACCTCAAAACGAGTCTATCCACTTTTCACAGACTAACAATATGCACTTTTTAATGCTAAAGATGGATTTAGCTTTTCTTAAATCTTCTGAAAGAAGTCTATTACTATTGGTATTACTTATATTACTTATCAGCAGAATTAGACAACCTAATGAACTGATCCGTGAGCCATGTAACCTCAGTGTCATGCCAAATACAATTGCTCCCATCTGTTGGGAATCAGTTAATTCATATTCAGGGTGTGCTGAAACCCACTTTCCACTTGAGTTAAATGAACATGCACCTGCTTGGAGATTATGTGCTGCCATTGTTTGTCACACTGATCTATACTGTGTTGTGTGACAGTAGTTAGTAATTTTATCCTCGGAAAGCATCATGTTAATCATTTTCCATGGTGCTGCTTTGCTTGAAATCTGCACAAACATTTTTGTGAAAGAACCATTGTTGGAACATACAAACAGGTGAGTGTTTCCATTCCCTCTGAATCACATCTGTTGAGTTTGGATTGACCTCAGGGTAACTTGTCTGTAAAAATATGAAACAATTCAACGTGATATAATCCTACTAATTAAAATAAACCTATATTACTCCTCCCTAATTCCAGCCTCTGAAGATCTCGCAAAATGTGCAGCCAGAGAGTCAGAGTTTGCAGAAGACTTTGTGGAAGTCGTATCAGAAGTGTCACAGTCTCTAGCTTGAGCCCTCAGAGGTTTTGGACTTATAATTTAAGTCTGTTTCATCCTTTTCATCAGAAGGAAAAGAAACCCGTTGTTCATCCATACGTTTGGATTGCACTCTCTGAATTAGGCAGAAGAAGTCTTCATCTGGGTCTGGTGCTGGTGGCAAAGAGCACCTCTGATCATTGATTCTGGAGGACTAGAGGGGGACAGAGGTGAGAAAGTTTACAACATGCAAACAGAGGAACTCTGAGGAACGTAAGTCTAAAGCACATTTGTACACCTCGCATCTGATATTGAATTTCAGTTGCTATTGTGTTACCTGATACTTAACGAGCATGTTGAAAAACTCGTCACTAGGTTCCTGTGGACTACATGACTCGCACAAGTGTCCCACATTGTTCTGTGCTATCCTGATGCCCAGACGGTCCCCTATACTGGCTCTCTGGTCGTCCAGTCTGCGGCTCTGGGAACTGGCTATCAGGTCAAAGAACTCCTCTGTCTGGGTAAGGGAGATGAGGGAGGAGGCTCCAGACAGTAAAGGGGACTGGGGCATGGAGGACTGGGGCCCAGACGAGGCCTCTTGGGCCTGGGCATTGGGCTGTTGAGAGTGCTGGCAGCGTCGGTTCTCCATGCCGCTGCTTCTGGGGTCTCTGAGCACAGTGAAAGGGCAGACCTCATTAGAGGTGACTGGGACTTACCCTTAAAAAAAGAATACAGAGCAGAAGATTAAACACTCTTGCAACAATTAATGAAATAACTTATGGTCCTTGATTTTGAAGCACATTTTGAAACATAATGTCAGCAACAATTTCAGTAAGTGCCAAATATAACATAGACAGTTCGTGTCCCCAGAATGATGCAAACATGAACTAAAAACTATATTTAGATTATTAAACACATTTAAACTTTTCAACTTTTTAAAAGCAGACTTGCTTTTGTAAGCCTGAAAAGTTTGTTCACTTATGTGTGAAATATATCTGGGATAATAACTTATTTTAGAGTTGCCATGATGCATAAACTGCATACCAGCAAAGTTTGAATTAGTTAACAATTTTAATAAAATTTTAAATTTGGTGTTAGAAGTAGCACAAAAGAATAATATTAAATCATCTTCAAACATTATTAAAAAACAGCTTTTAATAAATATAATATGTAACATCACATAAAACATTTGTGATATTTTACTCGAAATGCAATATTTAAGTATGACATATTTAACATATAACAAAGTTTTAAAATTACTTACAGTTTTATCCTTTTCAAAAAAATCCAAAAACAATAAAGTTCACACAGGCGCTCTCTACAGGGACTTCATCTGAGAGCAGCCATACACCAACTGCCACAGCCTCTGGCACTAAATGATTTTCTTGGCAGACATGACAAGTGGACCTTTCTCTTCCAAGATTGAAATGTACATGTTACTAAACGGCTTGCAAATCTTAAAAACATAAAAACAAGAAAATAAATACAAGACAAATGCCTTATATTCCAGCAAAAATGAGTATGATGTCCCTATCTTCCACACCCAGGTTTCCTGTGTGCTGGGCTGTCTGTTTTTCGAGGGGGAGAGGCAGAGAAAGGGAGAGTGAGGGGGGAGAGATAGAGAAATGGGGCGCAGTTGCCCCTCTCCGCTTACATCATGGTTGCTATAGGAACTGGAAATCGGCTTCCAAATCTCGCTTCCGTTGTTCACTCAAACACAGACATGTACACACCAACAAAAACACACACTGTCTGGTGCACACACACACACACACACACACAGGCTTGCATTCCTGCATTGTTGAGTTCCATTCATTGCTTCCTGGGGGATCAGTTGCCGCTCTCTTTCCACAGTCAGGAAAACTAGAGCACAATTATACCAGGATACAGTGGCCAAGATTACTGATGTATCTGTCATTTTCATGTCTATGTTTCAAGCAATGCTGAGCCGCTGTCGACAGAACACGGGGAGAAGGAGGTTGCTTGGAAGCTACCATAAGGAGGAGGCAATAACCAATGATTCTGGGATAAACCAAAGCAACATAATGTTGCCTGGGGCCCTTCGTCTGAAATAAATGGATGAATGCCACGCCATTTAGAATTCCCCAGGCGGAATAGAGCAGTCTTTCTTGGGATTCCTTCCAGTCCAGCTCCATGTGCCAGCCAGCGGGCAGCTACGAGAACAGATCCAGTTTATCAGTGCTCTCCACTACTTCAGATCACTACATTTCATATGCAGTAGCAGGCTGTTCATTGACAGAGTGTGTATATATACTGTATATATATATATATATATATATAGAGAGAGAGAGAGAGAGAGAGAGAAAGAGAAAGAGAATAGATAGATAGATAGATAGATAGATAGATAGATAGATAGATAGATAGATAGATAGATAGATAGATAGATAGATAGATAGATCATCAAAAGTTGTTAAATACAGCTAAATCAGCCAGGACTTCATCTATAGACACATACTGGATAAGAACATCCTGCTGCCAGATCTGACAAAAAATACAAGTTCAAGATGCACTGAATCCAGTTAAATTGCTTTTTTTTTGTTTGCATAGTCTATGAAAGGAACATAAACTAGTCACTACTTAAGGAAATTTATTGTAGTATAAAATGTGATTTCTACCTACTAGCCTGTTACTCTGTACGTTATATTTAGCACCCTAAATAGGTCTTGTAGAGTTCATTACACTGTTTCACTTGAACTTGGGTAAACTGAGTGCCAGTCACAGAGCCAGTCACAATTAACTAAGCTTACTGGTGATTTAAAACATGTTATCATCCAACGTAATAGGCTTTTCAATTAATGTAAATCAATATTTGCATGAATGTATTTCTCTCCACGTGTCCTGCATTGTTCTGAAAAATCACATACACTGACACTGTCATATCCAATAACGTGTAAAGAAAAAAAAAAAATTTTATGGGCCAAGTGAGACCTGCACAAAAATGCCCTTCTTGTGATTTGGCTCTCACAAAAAATATATTTGTGAAACCTCATGTCGCTATTAAGCCAACAAGGTCTTTGCGGTCTTTAGACGCACCGCTGGAGTGAGAGCAAACATCACCCACCTTTTTAAATGCACTGCCAGAAGGAAGCTTTTCAACCCTCCATTAGGTAAGTGCTCTGCCAAATAGGAAAATCCATCAGCTTTTGTGAACAAAGCCATTGAGCCATACCTGTCCATTCAGCTATCACTCTCCATTCATACACAAAAGCGTCATAGATTCAAACTTTCCTCTTTTCACAGACAATATGTGATACGGCATATGTTACAAATTGTGCACACAAGTGCATCAAACTGTCTATTTGAGAGCATATGTTAGTTTATCCAAAATTAGAAACGCAGAATTACTTGGCTTTCTATGAAAATATATTCTGTGCTAATATTGAATGGCTGCAAGGGCTAACACACATTTGTTGAAGCACCCAGCATGACTGCAAGCAGGATGCCTGCACTTGTGCACCTGGGTTCCCCCTAATCAGAAGCTTTTTATTATCACTGCTAATTGCATTGAACCCTTATCCAGTTTGTTTTAAAGTAATGTTTTGTATTTTTTGTATTTATATTTCGGTCAGACAAATCATGCATTTTAGTGAAAATTGCTTTGTCATCTCAAGCTTAATTAATTAGCTTTAAGAAGCTACAAAATGCTAATCAGAGGCATATATCCTGATCCTACTCCCCCCTTCTCACCCCTACTTTCCTGCCGCTACACTATTATCCTATAGCAAAAAGCCCCCAAAATAAAATTGTCTATTTTTTATTTAGCCTATAGATAAGCCTATTTACTCTAACACAGGGCTCCTCAAATCTTTCTCCAATGCGCTGCAGAGTTTAGCTCCAACCCTGATCAAACTCACCTACCTGTGATTTTCTAATGATCCTGAAGACATTGATTAGCTTGCTCAGGTGTGTTTGATTAGGGTTAGAGCTAAACTCTGCAGGAAAGTGGATCTCGTGGGCCAGATTTGTGGCCTGTACTCAATTCAATACTTTTTAAGCATATCACGTGCACTAAAATCTAAAAAGAGCCCAAATAATATATATTTTAAATAAATTGTTTTCATCAAACTTGCCATATTTGCTTATTTAGACAAAGTAAAATAGTTTAAATTACTGGATTTTGTTTGAGTTTATATATCGGCTATTTTTATTTTGTACACAAGTGGGACACAATGGCGTCAGAATGTTACAGAAACTATATCCTTATCTCGCTGTTATTTAATATTACCAAACATTTAAATGTTTTACATATTAAAAGTTGGCCACAATGTGTGGAATATACTTAAGCTATTAAGCTACATCTTGGCTAAGAATGTGCTCACGACGAGGATTCTGCGTAGAAACAAAGGGCGATTGACAATGACCTTGAATACGCTACAGAACTTTATCTCCATTTAGAGAGAGAGAAAAAAACTTATGACACGAGTCTTGCAGAAACCTGCTCTTGGTTGTTGTGTAATTTGTGTGTAAACAGTGTCCATATCTCTGTACCTTTATTGAGTTGAGGCTGTTACCAGGAGCTTTAATGTAAACAAAGTCACTGACAGCCCTGGCCTAGACGCTCAAATAACCGTGATCCTGCGAATTTAAGGGTAGGATGGCTTTATGTTGTTAAATATATGTATATTGTATAAATGTATAAATATATTGATTATATAACCTATTCGTATCATTTTATATGATATTTTATATCACTAATATTTCACGTATCTAATAGTAGGCAAATATAAATCAGCCACTAGGTCAATATATTACATATAAAATAGACATAACTATCTTGCTATTTGAATGTGACTGATTTGAACAGATTATTTTAAATGATAGCCTACCTACATATGATTTGCTACTGTATCTATGAGGTTGGCAAAATAAACAGTAAAAATGCATAAGATTTCGTATGATTATGTAGTTATTCAGTGCACACTCTGATGCCATAGAGAAAGTGCTTTGCTTGATGTCATGGCAGTATGGAGCTCATTTAAAAATAAATCATTAAATAAATAAATATGTAAGTATATGAAGTGGAAATAACAGGCATTTGTCTTCCATAAATGTATACTTTAAAATGAATTATACTTTAAATCTTTTTCCCCCCCCCCTGTAATGGGGACATTCTGATTCTGTGACATATGTTAGACTTTATTTAATTAATTGACCATTTTCTTGCTTTTCAGAAACACTGCATGCAAAGACATTTAAGTGCACAAAAAACATCTTGAAACAAACATGGATGCATCAAGTACATTCTGTTACAGGTGAATATTTGTTTTTTACACTTTGATTTAATGTTTATATCCCTGAATTCTCTATCCCTTTTTGTATGAAGTGTTGAAAATGAAAATCTCATTTTCAGTCCACTTAGGATCACGTCAGAGTGTGACTCATCTGCTGTGCCACATTCAGGATGTACTTTCCTCCTGGACTCTTTAAATATAGTTGATAAATCTGTGCAGAAAGGATTTTGCAAAGAGCATTTATCAAACAAATCCAAAACGAACGCATCAAAGACCCCTGAAGTTCTGCAGACTGTGAGTCCTTCCCAAAAGTTTCCACAAGATGACACTCTTTCTCCAAAATTAGACTCACCAACTTGTGCAGAGCTTTTGAAGACAAATTTACCTACATCCAAAGCCTTACACAGTCTACGAATGAAGATCCAGCAACAGAAACTGAGGAGAGAGATTCAAACTCCAGCACCTGGGAAGAAAGATCGGCAACATCTTACCAGAAAAATGTGCAGGGTGACAAACAAAGGTCTGCATTGTCATTGAACTTTATGGTATATGCAATTACAGAGCATGGACATGTACTAAAAAAAGATAAAGAGGTAACAGATGTCAATTAGATGACATATAACTGTGAAAGTCTGTGTAAAATTAAGTTACTATGTAATCTGATGTAATCTCTTCTGCTAGAAGCAAAAGCATCACCGGGTACAGGTGGAGTAATCAGATTGGCTGTAAGGAAAAACGCTGTAAGCTGTTTTTCACCCAATTCTGACCAAAGATCTGATCTCCGAGGTGAGACTCGCGAGGACACTATTTAATATAATGCTTCCTGACCCAGAACATAAAGTAAAAATATCTCAGAGCTTTCAAGGTACCTTGGCCTACTAAATGCCTTACGTAAGAGAATAGAACAATTCAATTAAGCATTAAAACTACACTCAGAAAAAAATTGTACAAAAGCTGTACCTTATAGGGATATAAGCAGCTTGTTACGCGCACACTTCTTTTTCACAAAGTAAGGTACTAATATGTAGTAATATTTTTTGCTGAAAATGTTCTTATACCCCAGGCCATCCAAGATGTAGATTAGCTTGTTTCTTCATTGGAACAGATTTGGAGAAATCTTTTGGATAAGGGTTTGTGAGAAACAAATCCACCATTAAGGCATTTTAACTTTTAATTTTAACTTAACAAGAAATGAATTGATGGACTGGAGTCCTGTGGATTATTGTGATGTTTTTATTAGCTGTTTGAACTCTCATTCTGACGGCACCCAATCACTGCCAGAGGATCCACTGCCGAGCAAGTGATGTAA